GTAAATCAAAAGCGGTTTCGAAACTCTTCCCCGATGACTGAATACGGCACGGCGCGATGGAAGGCCTTAATTCGTTTACGACTTGCAAAACGAGCCTTCTGGGAGCGCGCAACTGGTAGCCAAACAGTTTGCACGCATCCATCCCCGTGGCACGTCCCTAGGGTGCTACTGACGAAGTAAAATCCCGCAACGAAGCTTTCACGGATGGATATCGACGATGAGGAATTTCCAAGTTCAAAGAACCCATGTAAGACAAATGGAAATGATGTTGAATAATGTCTAAAATATTTTTTCCTATATAATTTGTAATTTTATTCTTAAAAATTATTTAAGTTTTAAAGAAACTAATAGTTGTAAATAATTTGTAAGTAAAATCCCGCAACGAAGCTTTCACTGATGGATACCGACGATGAGGAATTTATTCTTAAAAATTATTTAAGTTTTAAAGAAACTAATAGTTGTAAATAATTTGTAAGTAAAATCCCGCAACGAAGCTTTCACGGATGGATATCGACGATGAGGAATTTCCAAGTTCAAAGAACCTATGTAAGACAAATGGAAATGATGTTGAATAATGTCTAAAATATTTTTTCCTATATAATTTGTAATTTTATTCTTAAAAATTATTTAAGTTTTAAAGAAACTAATAGTTGTAAATAATTTGTAACTAAAATCCCGCAACGAAGCTTTCACAGATGGATATCGATGATGAGGAATTTCTAAGTTCAAAGAACCCATGTAAGACAAATGAAAATGATGTTGAATAATGTCTAAAACATTTTTTCCCCTATATAATTTGTAATTTTATTCTTGAAAATTATTTAAGTTTTAAAGAAACTAATAGTTGTAAATAATTTGTATCTCTTTAACATCCTAAACATTCTCTCAAGTATGAATAAAGACTTGAAAATTAATAAAGATAAAATAGGATTGATAATATATCTACGTATTATAGCCAGGTGGAAAAAGTTTCATTGAGTTAATTTACGCGTAATTATCTGAATAAAATATTTCGTGCAGATGGACTAATTTATTCCTTCGAAGGCGCATTATGGATCTCAAATAGACACTTTGTAAGTCGATGTGAGTCATCGTTAGTTGAATGCAAACGTTGTCTGACTTACGTAATATCTTTTATAGCGGTTTCATGAGAGATCTCGCTATGTTTCATGAATTTAATTTCTCTTTACTAGATGAGAGCAAAACTTATGCACCGTAAGAGATTATGAAATTGATCTTTTTCGAGAACAATATTCTAGTTTTTGTGCTTAATGTCCTTCTCTATTCGCAGAATAAATTTTACAGTTTTCGTCCTATAAGAAATATTTAATATTCACTGTGGACTGATATATAAATATTCCATTATGCACAAATATTAACTGTACGTTTATTTAATATATTTTTAATAATGATTATAAGATTAAGAAATCAAGTTTCCAAAAACATAATTCGATAATTTCTTTTAATTTTATTATACTACGTGCATTGCATTTGTTAGTTTACAAATTAAAAATATTTATTTTAAAATTAATACATTTTATTTTCTAGCTATTATAAATTTTAATCTATCATACTCGTATAATTGGACGCAATATTTATACAATATGGAACCAATCATTAATTTTTCCGATTTTGAGATTTTCAGATTTTTGAATACCTATACGCGAGGCATAATTTGCAATAAAAATCCCGAAATAAAAATAATAGTGATTGGTTTTATATTGCATAGTTGTGTTCAATTATAACTCGATAAATCAGATAAAAATTTAAGAAAGAATGTTAACGAATTTATGCTGCATACGAGGGCAAGCTCGCGTTGCATCCTCTCTCTCTCTCTCTCATCCTTCTTCGTAATATTTCCAAAATATTACTAATTAATTTGAAATGTGGAGCATTTTAGCGGGCGCCTCCAACCCGATGATCTCTCCCTATCTCCTTGCGGGTGATCGATATAAAATTGCAGTGGAAACAAGGCGGCACGCAATACAAGCGGTGTTGTTTCGCGTTCCCCAGAGGGATCTGATTGCAAACGAATGCGGCGGGGTTACGGTCTCTCCCTTCATATTTTCGATTAATCCAGTTTACTCGCAGACGTTACCTCGCCATGGGGTTCTTGTAAGCCGAGAATCCGCACAAACGTTCCTCCCGCGCTTAAATATATTCAATTACGAGACTCAAACCTATGCGCCTCATCGTCTCTCCCAGTCTGTCTTTTCTAACCCCTACGCTCTTGTTATTTTCCGTTTTACTCGCGCAGTCCCGACTTTCCACTTCCGTTTCGACCCCCTCTTAAGAATACGGATTTATGCACTGCTAGATTCTTCAGCGAGTTTGTCTAACGAATTATAATACGAGATACGCACTTATTATCGAATCTCCTACGATTAGAAAGTGTCGCACTCAGCTATAAAGAATTTTATTTTCAGCCTTTATAATAATAATAATGATAATATATATTTATAAGAGGGTACATAGTGCGGATAATGCTTTAAGTCTTAAAGCAAGATAGTCGCATAAAGAAATGAAATTTTAATGACGCGCATATAAATATAAAATATATAGAATTAAATTGATAGAATATTTTTGTTCTATGCTATGATCTCTGTTAATTATACTTTGATAAGAAATATATATTTGTTTTCTTCGAATAATGCTCTCGGGAAATTGTGCAGACAAGTGGAAAAAAAAAGATAAATATAAAAAGAACATCTCGCAATATATATTTTTTATATAAAATAATATAATAATAGAGTTTGCTCTTAGAGCTTCAATAATGTGTTGCCGAATATGTGGAAAGCGGAATCAAAGCTTTCGACAGTCTCGCGTGAAAAGTCGAGATGTCGCGATTCCACGTTATTTCCCGATGTTTTCCACTGCCAGGCCAACATACCATCAGGGTTAGATGATAGAGCAAGAATAGAAAACGTCGGATATAGCGGAAACAATGAGAGCGAGCGAGAGAGAAAAAGCTAGAGAGAGAGACAGAGAAGAGGGTCACGATATATATATATATATATATATATATATATATATATATATATATAGGGGAGAGGGTGCAGAGCGAGAGAGGAAAAGAGAGTTAAGCCTGCAGGCTGCAGACAGAGGCACCAGAGCAGCGGCAGCAGCAGCGCAAAGCGAAAGCAGGAGGGAGACAGGCATCTCGCCCTTCTTTTGTCCCTGGGCTTCGGCCCGATATTGAAATGGAGTCGTTTGAGTGTGAATAATTTGCTTTGCCCGGGCCCACCCTTCCACCGCCGCCGTCCCTCTCTCCTTTGCCGACTAGCACCGCGATCGGTGCTAGTCCCTCCTCGTGTACCCTCGCGCGGTCCCCGTCAACCCCTGTATGCAGCACCGCCGCGTTATTTCGCGTCGCGTTCGACAGAGAGAGAGTTTCCCCGATTTCCGTAGTCGCGATTCCAGCCTTTTTTCCACCGTCTTCCACGTCGGACCAGCCAAGGGCGCGTTGACGTCGCGTCGACGGATAGGTGTGACACTGTCCGGAATGCATCTCGTTGGAACCCTACTTACTCGGGGAAGGATTTCCAAGTTATCTCTCGCAGAAAGAGATCCAAGAAACTCCTCTTTTTTATCAATTAAATAATTTCCAAAATTTTACATTTTATTTTGTATAAGGGTTTATTTCCATCTGTTGGATTCATTTGGATTTGTGATATTGGTTATCACATTTTACTATATGGTTATTTAGATATAATTTAAAAGTTGAGAATGATTGAAATAATTAATAAAATAAACTAATATTGATTGATATAAGATCTTATAAGATTGTACCAATTATTATATCTCTTGGATCGCAAATTCTTACAACATGCAAACGCAGAGTTACTAAATTTGTCTGCTAAAACTCTGATGATTGAAAGCTTCGATTGAAAGCCTTCTCTTTTCACACGAAACTAATCGGAAAGCTCGTTTTGTGCATATATATTTCGAGAAAGAGAGAGAGAGAGAGAGAGAGAAGTATCGGTCATTATAAATTCCAAAGTATTGTCGCGATCGATCGATCGAGCGACCCTGGTACGATTCCATACCTCGGATGCTGGTCAGATCGGGTACGCCGGTGAATTGATTAGCGCGAATCATCGTCACGCGCCGGCGAAATCCATGCGTGGAATGGGCGACACGTACGACACGCATGCCACGCATGACGAGCCGGAGTTAAAATTACATCGACGTAATCGTCGCATAACGCGGTCTTGCTCCGATCCGTAAAATATGCTAACTAATCCGATCATCGGTCACGGCTGATGAGACTCGTCTGATGATGGATTAGACGGAAAAAGTCGAGGACGTTTGTCTTAAAATTCAAATCGTTATGCAAAATTTGGAGCATTTCTATACGACGCTTTGGTGGCAACGTACTTTGGTGAACGTGTATGCTCATTGTAAATTATAATGAGTCTGGCTGAATACAAATGTTTGGAGATATTGATGATAATGTAGCATGAATAATAACAAATCTCATCCCCGATTAATTTCGATTAGATTCTAATCAAATTTTCATACTTTGTCTTTCAAATATTTTCGAGATTAAATATTTATCTGATGTTGTGGTGATATTACACATGGAAAAAACATGCATTCAACATAAAATGCGTTTGCACAACGTTGCAAAAATCTAGCGAATATAAACGCGTCGAATCTTTTCTACATTTAGTCGTCGATAGGACAGAAGCGCAATTTCTTCGAATGCGATTTGTACGACCGGAATAAACACAATGCGCGAAAAAGCACGAAAGGCGAAGCTGTGGAAGACGAAGAAGAAGTCGGCCGTACCTCGAGCATTGAAAAACGGCGCTTTTGTTGAAAAAGGCGCCCGCTTGCCGACAAAGACGAAGGTAAACGCGCGTGAGCAACCGGATGATGAGCCAACAATGATCGAGGATTCATCAGTCTTTTAAGAGGCCAATGTCATTCGCCGCCGCGCTACCCTGGGCGCGTATCCTCCTTAGATATGCAGAACACGGGACACGGGTGTATATAATCCACCAGCGGTAGCCATCGACGTTCAGTCAGCTCGTCAACACAACCGCACAGTCAACCATCGTACAAAGATGAAGGTAGTCATCGAATTAGATATTTTATATTAAAGAATCAGCTTTTAAATAGCGAGGAAAAAATTGCGATTGCAGATCATTGATTGCAATAATATTCAGCCGATCGATTTGACTGATTTTTGAAAATAGGTATTCATCAGCATCGTCCTCTTCGCTGCGGTGGTTTTCGCCGAGCCGCCAAGGTATCGCCAGCAATATCAGCAACAGTACTATATTGCCCGGCAGCAGGAGGAGGCCGCGCCTTATCCAGCTTCCGGCTGGAAACCAGCGGGACCAACTTTTAATCTTCCCCAAAGACAACCTCAACAGCAGCAATACGGGGCGCCGGATGCGCCTCAGCAGCAGTACGGAGCGCCGGACGCGTCTCGGAAACAATATGAAGCACCAAGTGCACCTCGCCAACAATACGAAACGCCGGATGCGCCTCAGAAACAATACGAAGGACCAAGTGCGCCTCGGCAACAATACGGGGCGCCGACGGATCCCCGACGAGAGTACGGAAAACCGGAAGAATCCACGACCACGGAGACGTCTAGCACCACCGAAGAGGAAGAGGTGTCCACCGTTCAAGGCATCACTGAATCCGAGGTAAGTAAAGCATCCAAATTTTTTTAAAATTATTTTCATCGATAAGTAAATTTACTTATTTTTATCAAAATATTATGAAATTATATGAGAACAGTCGACCCAATTTTTGTGATAGAGATTTGTAATGTAATAAAAAAATGGAAAGAAAGTGTGTGCCATTCGTGATACACAAAATATTTCAATCAGAATGAATCAATCACAGCTGATTATTTAAATTGAATATGCAAACGAGACTTTCGAAAAAAAATTTGCATCAAATTTCTGTGTTTGCATTGATTGGCCACAATATTAACGATAATTTTTGACGGAAAAGTCGGCGAGAAAATTTCGAAGCTCGCCAAGTCGCAGATACGCCAAATGTGCGCGTCCTCCTTTACGTAACGCAGATTTGTCATCTTGTTTCGGAAAGAGAACGCGCTGAAGCATCGCCGTTGGCATGTGAGAGCCTACGTAAGAAGGAAGACGGTTCTGCGGAATTTAAATCGCACCGAGAGACTACCGCGAGGCTCTTCTCTTTTTAAATCTTCGACGCTCCGCTCGTTCTCGTCGTTTCTCCCGCTTATCCTAACGACATTAGTATTCGAGGCGTCGTTTACTTTCGATCGCGAGTCTCGGGCACGTGTGTGCCCGTATCAAATTCGAAGACTGGCGTGACACAACCCATAATGCATTCATCCGTGATTCGAGGTCGTCTGCGAGCCTATATACGCCGCCTTCTGTTTGGCGAGATATTGAAAAAGAGACCTCTCTCTTTCACCGAAAAATATTTGTCAATGGAATTGCTTCCTTTATTTGTATAGTTCGAAAAATTCCCCGGCAAATCATTCCTACTGGGACTTTGCACCGCAAACCTTCTTCTCCGCTATTTTTATGACAAATTTCTTAACACACGTCTTGGCAGCAAGAAACGTTAACCTTGCTTGAAAGAATCTATAATTACAAGTGATGTCGACATTACAAGAACATAGTAAACATTGAGTCTCTTCTCACGATTAGATATTCTCCTTCTCACTATCTCGACTTCCATCACAATATACTTTATAAATATACATTTTCATAAACACCACAATTAAATACACTCTTTCCTCTCTTTTCTTTTAATTAGAGCATGTAACGTAATATCAGTCGCCGATGATCAGCGACTGGTAATAAGTAAATATAAAGGTAAACAATTACACAGTATAATTAGAAACATGAACCATTCTCTCAGTCCGAGCCCGTGAACGCGGTGAACGAGCTCGAGGACGAGGACGTGGACGAGAAGCAGCCCCAGCAATCCGGAGAGTACTACGTGGCCCTTCCGGACGGGCGTCTTCAACGCGTGCGATACATCAGCCGGCAGAACGTCGAGGCCATGAAGTACTTCGCCAAGATCCGCGCCGAGAACGTGGAGCCTCTTCGCGGGCCGATCTACGCGTACGCGCCCCTGCAGAAGCTACAGATCGTGCCGGCCGGCTTCCAAGTGTCAGTCGCCCAGGTCGCCCCGATCGCACCTGCGGACCAACCTGCGAGCAGGCCGCAGAAACTCGAGACGATCGAACCCGTGGCCGCGCAGGTGCAATACCAGTACGACAACAACCCCGCGAACGTGGTGGTGCCTCTGACCAACCCTCTGAGCTCCTACACCACCTACACTAACAACTATCAAGCACCGGCAGCCAATGGCGAATCCAGGTTCCTCCTCACCTTTCAGTGAACCGGTCTCCAACTCGATGATATCCTGATCCCTTGTATATTGCGTTCTACATGTTAAGGTTGTTTAATGTACTCGCAATTTGATTAAGCTGACCAAGTAATAAAGCAGATTGTCTAATGCAATTTTTGGGGTTTTTTTTATGTCGCTGATGCTTCAGTGTAAGATCATTTGTTGTCAAGATTATTGTGCTTTCTGATTTTCTATGCATTGTTCGCGGATGGAATGTTAAGAAATCATAATGAGATGAAATAATCGATAATTGATAATCCTATAAGAATATCTTGTTTCAACTGAATCTCGCTATTTTACAGCGAAATTAAATGAAATTTCTTCAACGCACGATCGTGAGTGTAGATGTATTGATGCGAGAGACAAGGAGAGAGATCCGTCGGCATGTAGACGTGCCTAACCGCAAAATTCCAGAAATTTAATATCTCGCTCGGCAACCGGCAACAGGGTTGGGCGTTTCATAAGTTCACTCCCGACACGGCCAATCCCCCGTCAGAATTCTCCCAAAATTCTACAGCGTTCCAACACACACACACACACACACACATACAAACACTTTTCCTCTCCTCTTTTCGGCGCACTCCGTTATCTCTCTCTATTCTTTCCTCTTTACTACAACGACCAACGCGCGTCTTGAATGTTCTTTGCCAGTGGTCTAGAGTATTTTGAAGGAAAACGAAAATCCAGCAGAATGTCTACGCGATAATTTCGAGGGATCGATTTGATTTGAAATATAAAAGATCTAATCCTGCAATCTTGCAAATTTGCAACAATTTCCTTTTTCCAACTACGACACACGTATCTTATATTATTTGTGTTAAATTTAGGGATTTTGAAAGATGTACAAACAATATGTAAAATAAAAAATCAAATTTATCGCGAGGAAAATTACGTGCAAAACTCGTATAAATTATACGCCTTTTGACGAACCAAAAAACTAGTAATATCTTGAAAACAATGAAAATCGTAACTCTAACTTGCAGCCAATCTTCGCCGAGAAATCTCATATCAGGCATAATTATGCCTGCCGAGTTAGCGGAAACTTTTAATTAAGGTTCACCGGCAACAAACCGCTCTTAAGAATTTAGCCGGACCATCGTCGGGCCGAACAAAGGGATACCCTCCGGCAGCTTTGGGGTAAATAGCCCGAAGAAGCACAAACATCCTCGCCGGGATTTCATCGATAGGCGCAATCGGCCGACTAATTAATCCGGTCAAGCGGTCAGGTCCAATTAAATTCCACTAGTCGGTCGAGCCGTTACCTGGGTATACGTGACCGCGATTTCATTCTTGGACGAGCTTTTTCCGTCTTGGTTCGCAAGAGATGCGTCTAAAATCTTTGCTTTCTCCGGCCGCCCATCGCCTCTTCGGGGAAAATCGCTTTTAAAAAAACAAAGTTTCTTCCATTTGCCGCTCCTCGCACCATCGCCATCCGTCGTTTTCTCGCTCTTCTGCACCCCGTTGAGCATGGAAGCTCTCGTCCCCGAGAGCCAACCAGCCGGTGCACCCTCCTTTCCACGGGATATTAATTTTTCGGGAAGTTGTACCGCCCGTTTGCCATTCCTTTTTTTCTGCGACCCCTCTTCCTTTCCTTCCTCTCGCTCGACAATTCGTTTTTTCATCACAATTTAGGCTCGAAGTATCCGCGAATTTTTCTCGCAAGCTTTTAATTTTTAGCGTTGAAGATTTTGACATTTTTCGATTGTGTTATAGTGTCTCAGTATATCAACCGATAATATTTTAAGAGCAATTATTAATTTGAAAAAGAAAAATCCTTAATAAAAAGATCGAAATATATCGGATATATTTCTATAAATAAGAAGAAATAAGTAGAATATTTTCTTGCAATTTGCATTTGAATTACTAAACGTAATATTTTTTCACTATGTTCAATTTTTTCTGAATAATGCTCGCATTTCTAAAAAAAAGAATAAAATAAAAGAGAAATCCTAGATAATCCATCGACACGTGCGCAATTAAAAATTTAAATCATATTTTTTTCACTATTCAATTACTAGGTATAAATGAGCTTTTTAAAAGCCTCATATCATCTAGATAATATTTCGCGATTTTTTTCAGTAATTTTGTTCCACGTGCAATATGAAGCATCGATGAAGGAAAGAAGATTAAGTTTCATAATCCGGCGGGAACATAATACGAATAGCTCTATCGGAAGTTTTGCACGTCACTTGTATTTCATTCAAGGTATCATTAATTTCACCGTAACAATCATTTCAAAGATCTAAATCAAATAAAATATATATATAATTACGATATTTTTAAAACTTTTATAACAACTGTCAATTAAATGTTGGGAAAAGATAAAATGTTGCAGAATCATATTTGGTCCATTGATATAATTAATATACATATGTGTACTCCAATATTATCACATTATCTTATGAAACAAATCTGCATATAAAGTACTTATACAGGAGTAAATAAATCAAAAATAAATTTAGACATTTCATTAAGAATGTTTTTCGAATTAATAATTGTTCTTAAAATATTATCGGATGATACTGGTACACTATGTAGAATCGAACGATTTCTCCAATCGAAATCTTAACGAAGGATTAAAATAAGCTACGAAAAAATGTAAATCCAGATAATTTCTTTTTGACACGCCCAATTATATAATTTCATGCTAACATTTAAAAAAAAATCTATCGAGATTTCCTACGGGACTAACTCGTTCGCGGCGTAAAAAGGAAAGAAAAGAAAATTGAATTTCGGCGATTGGCCTCGACTGTGATCGGCGAGGAACAAAGGTAGCAGGAAGGTCGAATCGACTGTGAGAGACGATTATATTTTCGGAGCACCTGAAAAGAGAGAGAGTCGCGATGGAAAAAATCTCGGGCAGAGAGGGACGTAAATAAAAATGAATTAGAGACGGAACAAGAACAAAAGAAAGGGAGAGGGTAGGGTAGCTATAAGAAAAGACGCTGAGAATCACACAACGGTGACATCTGGTTCTGCGATGGTGGTAGACGTCGATTACGCACGGGGTCGATTCCACAGGGGTAGCTTTCTCGCGAATCGCGCGATTGTGGTGATTCGCGTGTGTTGGACACACATCGCGGACCGCCCGCTTGTTTGCACAGTGCTGGATTAAGAAAATAGCGGGAGGCTCCCGCGGAGCCGGTGGGAACGCGATGTCCTTCTTCAGGTTCTCAGGACTCGGGAGGGAGGAAATACGAGCACTTCGTGCATGGTCGATTCAAAATAGTTAGCTCGAATGGCGATCAAATATTTGCAACCATGATGTAGCGATAGCTCGAGACTTCTTTCATATGTGGAAAAAATTGCTTCTGTTTCTGTCTTAGTTTTTTATCATAAAAAAAACTAAACAATTTTTGGAAATATTAATATTGAAGAAAATAGAAAACTAGTCCGCGCGATTTTTTCTCGTCTTTACAGTCTATTCTTAAACATAATACGAATATCTCTATCGGAAGTTTTGCACGTTACTTGTATTTCGTTCAAGGTATCATTAATTTCACCGTAACAATCATTTCAAAGATCTAAATCAAATAAAATAATTACGATATTTTTAAAACTTTTATAACAGCTGTCAATTAAATGTTGGGAACAGAGAGAAAATGTTGCAGAATCATATTAAAATTTGTTCCGTCTGTAAAAAATTGTCCTCGCTTTTTAAGCTTCTCTCTTCACTCGAGGATTCTCCGCGCGACCCCACATGACGTGGAAGGTCGCAGAGACAACAATAAAAAATGAAAAGCCAAAAGAGGAGAGAGAGAGGAAAATACTTGCGTGGCTGTGCGTGTATGCATTCTGTATGCGAGTGCACTACCATCGACGGTGATTAGAGATCCCCCGTCGACAAGCACGTCGAACTCTTTTCGACTCTTTCGAAGTCGGCACCTGCTTTCGCTCGACGACGACGTCGTCGGCCTTTGTGATCCTTCTTCCTTCTGTGTCAACGTATCCCTCGCAATTTTCACGAGCTGCATATATATGTATGTGTGTGGATGTCGAATAAACGCATTGCGTCACAGGGCATGTCGATATTGAGTCGGGAAGGGAATAGCGAAAACAATGAGGCCGTGACGAAGTCGCTCTTTGATTAATATCCCCGAATTAATAGGGATTCAACGAAGGAAGGGGATATACGGTGTCTATAGTCATTGTTGTTGCGGCGATGTTTCATGCACAGCAGAGAAATAAATAAATTTATAAAATTTGTGTGAAAATTAATTTTATGCTAACGTTATATTGCAATATTCATAATTTTATATATTATTATATTTTATTTCAATTATTTTACGGAATGAGAAAAATATTGTAGAATCATTTCTTCTTAGAAATTAATAATGAAAACATGAATTTGAAAAAAGAATTCTCCGAGGAATATTTTTCTTTCCGAAGTGATGAGGAAAGTGACTTGATACCGTAGCTGTCGAACAGCTCATATTAGGTCAATCGCGAAATAAAATCATATGAAATTCCACACGCACGAGGAGCATAATTCAATCGACGGATAGCGCACAATAAGCGTGAGTGCGCAATGCTGAAACATTATGCAATGCTATGGGTGATTGATCGGCTGCGATCTTACGTAACTCATTGTTCGTCGAATATGTATGAGCATACGTCAACACATATTTTTCTTATTTTCCTTACTTTTACTCGTTAACTATCATTTTGATCACATTTTTTAATCGAATCTCTTTCTTCGAAAATTATTATTAAATACTTCGCGATGAGATGAAACTAGATTTGACTGAATTAATCCAATTACTCTAATTTAGTTCAATAACTTGACAACAATTATAATAACATGTTACATGCTATTTGCATCAAATAACATTTTAATACACAAATCTGTTGTGTAGAAATTTTCTAAATTTATATGCGGCTGTTTTCAATTCTCAAAATGTTTATCTTTCAAAGTTATTATATTCGATGAAATGCTCTTGCAGTATTCTCAATAGATTTTCACAAATATAATCTTGATATATATTTTAATGAAATATATATCTTCAATGCTATTCTTCGTTTCATCGCTCGATAAGTCGAATCACATCAAATTTCGATGGATTGCGAGGAACGTGGAAAAACTGTCGAACGAATCTCTCGATTCCGAGGGACT